TCCTGAGAATTCAGTAGAGACACTGAATATTCTGCCTCCTAACAGTTCCTAGTGAATTATATGTGTAAGAGTTGGTTCAATAAGTACATAGTACAATAAATGGCCTTTTAGACAGATTCCCTCCACTTATAATGTGTTTGAGGCTCGTGTTATGTAGAATATATCAGAATTTAAATATATGGTTGCCTAGTAATATCCATTGCTTGTTTATACCACAGCACCATTTTATTTCCTATTATCTTCAAACTGCTAATGGGGTCTCATACCTGTCAAGCTTACATTGCTGCTATTTGTCATTTTTTACCTCTGTCCTTCATATTGTTTGATGCCCTATCTTGGTAACTCTTCATTTTTGTATGTCTGATATTTTGAAATCCACATATCGATGAGATCATAACAATATTTTTCATTCTGTGTCTGGCTCATTTCATTTCAGCTCCAGCCTCAGGCTCATTGTGGCAAATAATAATATCTTATGTTTGTTTTATTTTAGGATTAATAATGTCTACACATATTTTTGTTCAGAAGCATTTGCAGCATACACATTTTTTTTTTTTTTGTCTGTTCACTTGGCATCTGACACTTGGGTTGATCCTGTATCTTGGATTTTCTGAATAGTGTTATAATAAAGATGAGAACCATTTCTACTCAGTTCTGTATACTTTCATAGTTTCTCCTGGTATTGGACTGACCCATCTGACATTTCCATCTTATGAGTAAAAGTAATTGAATTTCATTTCTCTGTATAGTTCAGGCTGTGATGATTCTGACAATTTGTCTCCTTCTTGCCCTCCCTCCCTCCCTCCCTCCCTCCCTCCCTTCCTTCCCTCCTTCTTTCCTTCCTTGCTTCCTCCCTTCCTTATTTCCTTCCTTCCTTCCTTCCTCCCTCCCTCCCGCCCTCCCTCCCTCTCTCCCTCTCTCCCTCCCTTCCTTCCTTCCTTCCTTCTACCCATCTTCTTTTTCTTGCCTGTTTAACCACAGTATAATTTTATGCAGACCAACTTAGCTGAAGGAAAAAAGTTTGTGATAAATAGGGTAAGACAATATTTAGCAGACTTTGGTTTTATGATGCTTTGCAAAATACATAAACATCTGCTTATTATCTAGAATAACAAACTCAAAAGGGTTAGGTAAGAGTGTATTATTTCTATTCATTTTAAAATTGAAAATAACATTATTTATGGCCTTATTTGTTTTGAAACAAGGTCTCACAGTGTAATCCAGTCCGGCCTTGAACTTTCATCTCTGCCTTTCTTTTATTTCTGAATTCTAGGGAACATAGGCATGTAACACTGTGCTCAGCTATAGTCAAGGTAAAAAATGTCAATATATTTTTGCCCCTGAGATCACCTTCATTAACTATTATAATAATTTTAATCAAAATATTAAAATATAGTGTATTTTAACACTAACAGTAGACAAACAAGCTCTTTCTGGTCACTTAAGAGCATGTAGCCTCTTTTAGGTACGTCACAGAATTCAAAGAAAGTAGGAGAGAAATCTTTATTTTCAATAAATTTAAAGCTTACAATAGAAATCATAATACTGATCTTATGGAAGTGTAAGTAAAATATGATATTCACATAGAATGCTTAATATAAAGAGTAGGGAAAGCAGTATGGGCCAGAAGGATGGCTTTTCACGTGTTTGACCAGTCTAATTTATCCACTAGTGTAATTTTCACATTTGCCTTTGAGAAGACACTTTTCATGCATGAGAATTGTGTATACACCATTCTCACCATCTCCCCCCCACTCCAACCCTGACTACTCCAAAGATTCCCCACCACTTCCACTCAAATTCAGGATCTCGTCTTTACTATTGTATTAGTACACACACGCACACACGCGCACACACACACACACGCACACAGAGGGAGAGAGAGAGAAAGAGAGAGAGAGAGAGAGAGAGAGAGAGAGAGAGAGAGAGAGAGAGAGAGAGAATTGACCTAGTCCGTCCAGTGTTGTTCATGTATTTAGGGATAACTACTTTAGACTGAATATCCAACCAAGGGCCGTTGTTGGAGGAACATAGTTCTCACTCTCTCGGCCATCATTAATTGACTGTAGCTCTTCATCTAGGGCCCAGTGAAATTTACCCCAGCCACACTGGTGTGTGAGCTGGCGCCATCATTATGCACATCTTGTTCAGGAAACCATACTGTGATGACCTCATGAGTCCCGCCTCTTTGTGGTGTCTAGAAGGAGGAAAGTGGGGACACCATCACTCAGCAGCTCCGCCAGCACTTACGGTCTTCCCAGCCCCTCTTCTGCAGTGCTCCCTGAGCCTTGGGTAGAAGGTTGCAATGTAGATTACCAGCTATGACTGGGCATCCCCATAGTCATTTATTCTCTCTGTGTTTTCATCAGCTCTAGATCTCTGTAATGCTGCTGTCTGCTGTGGTGGAAGGTCCTTTGATGAGTGGTGAGAACTGCAGATGAAAATCAGGTTAGTTTAGGAAAACGGCAGTAGTAGACTCTGCTCTAGGGTCTGTGACTCTCCTGCCATGGGTAGCTGGCTTGGGTTCCATATAGTACCAGGTATGGATTCCTTCCTATTGAGCAGTCCTGAAGTCCAAATAGACAGCTCTTGGTTACCCCCAAAATAAAGCTGTTATTACACCATTGAGGGTGTCTTGCCAGACCAGTCATTTTTGTGATTCATAGGCTGTGGATAATCACCCGAAAATCACTTCCGAAACCTCTGGTGAAAAATAAAAATAGAAATTTTGAAGAGATCATATTTAAAAAGGCACAGGAGATGGTAGTGAGGAGAATACCAGCTAGTGGATAGGATTCTCTAAAACATGAACTCTTTTATAGTATCTATGACAATCATATATATTTAATGTGATTTATTCATTTTGTAGTTGAACTGAGGTACAGTGGAAAGAGGATGGTGGTGGTGGTGATCTGCTTATTGTAGATACTTAGAAAATCAGCATGACTATCTCTCTATAGTGTGTGTGTGTGTGTGTGTGTTGCTCATGGCCTTTTGCATGCTAAACACATGTTCTATAACTAAGCTAAACCTCCAGTCCTGAAAGGAAAAAAGAATGAAAGAATGTGTAGTATATAAACAGAAACAATGCCAAGCTACAATTTTTCCTAAGTAGTTTAAAAATTAGATTTTAGTAAATATTAAATATTACATCCTCCAGTGGCTAATTATGAGTGACACCTCCACTTATGCACACAGACACACACACACACACACACACACACACACACACACACACACACACACTACATCAGAACACTCAGTTTTCCAGCTTCTTCGTTTTAGGTGACCCCAGGAAGATTTATATTGTCATATCTAGGGGGATTCTGGCTCATTTTGATTATCCATTTTCATCTTTGCAAAATGAATGATGCCAGTAATATCAGAAGGCCCAGGACTGGATGATTAAGCTGGTTCAACAAGACAGATCTGCAAAGAGTAGTTGATCCATCTGATTACCAGACTAGAAAAGAAAGAAATGCTGTTAATATAATCACCCAAGATTTTGTGACCTCACACAGTCCAGCACAGACATTAGTCGAGACCGGTTCTCAGGATGATTGCAGTGTGTCTGAAAAGGGAAGATTGTTGCTTTGGTAAATCAAAGGTTTAGAAAATCAAAGACAATGGATTTTTAGCGGATTCTATTTTTCCTGCAAACAGCATAAGAGAAAAGAAGCGAAAGAAAGTCCCTTGATGAGAGGGGACAGTGGGCTAGTCAGGAAGCCAGCCTGCTGCTTCTGCATGGGAATTTGGGTTGGTTGCAGGCCTCAGGCCTCCACTTTCTCATCTATAAAACAAAGGGTATTGGGGTGGGGCTGGATGGTTTCTGCGGATGCAGATATGGATTGGATCGATCTCATAGAAAAGAACAAAAATTTGAATATTTATGAAAGCAAAATTAGCGAGTGATCAAAAACGGGGAAGAGCGTGGCAGAAGGAAATGAAAATCCATCTTACTGAATTCAAAATACAACACAAAACTGTCAGAAACCAAGCTTTTTAGAAGGAGGAGAAGGAACTGTGTCCTTTGTCTCCAGATTTTCTCCACTGTGGTCTTGTTCTCTCTTCCCCAGCATTACCTTTTTTTCCTCTCTCTCTCTCCCTCCCTACTTTTTGTTTCCAGTAACCATGGTGATGCTTCCTCTCAGCAACCTTCCTTGCAGCTGGCCCTTTTGGTACACAGCAAATTTACTCCATTTACTGGTGCAGGGTTCTAACAATGCTTTAACAATTCATTTATTAACATTTTCTCCAGGATAACACATGTGGAGAATTATTCTACAGTTAAGACCCCTACATAAGGGACATTGTATAACAGGGATATTCAATTGTTAATTTCAGTTGCTAACATTGGAGGGGAGGCTGATTATGCCAAACACTGATCTCTCTGTAAGGGCCCTCACCTCAGGGACTGCAAAGGTCCACACTCAAACTGGTTGCCACCTCCTTTTGTATGGAACCAGAATAAATGATTGCATAGAGATATCACATGGCAATCCTTGTAAGAGAAACATTGCCAAGTGAGTAATTATCACAGTTACAAAGCCATTGAATTTTCTGTAGAAAAATACATACCAGTATATACATTCCCTTAATGAATCTTTTATTTTGGAATATAAATAAACAATGTGCAATAACTTAAAAATATTGGATTCATCTTTCAATAACAAAGCCTCAAAGAATCTTTAGTATCCCTCATATAGATAATAAAAATTCCCATAAATGATCATTTACTTATGTCCATCTTGAGTAGCTTAACTTTCTTGTAATCCTATATGCCTGGAAAAAAGGTCTCTAAACATCTCTCTCTCTCTCTCTCTCTCTCTCTCTCTCTCTCTCTCTCTCTCTCTCTCTCTGTGTGTGTGTGTGTGTGTGTGTGTGTGTAAGACACAAAGGAGACCAGATGATGACATGCATAGGCTTATAGACTGGACTCCTGGGGACACACTTGGATGGAGGCAATTAAAATGCCTGTCAGGCATTTGGTACCAGAAGTCCCCCCGTGGCAAACCGCTAAATCCTAAGCCAGGGCACCATCCTATTGTCAGTGAATGATGGCGGAGCTGAGTGGCTTGTCATCATTCTCGAAAATTCCGAGCCTAGTGAGCTCTCTCTCCCTCTCCTGTTCGCCTTATTTTCCTTTCCGCCACTGCGGGGACTTTTTTTAATTTGCAGCTTCCCTTTCCCCGGCACACACAGACAGGAGCTGGTGGCTTTCAGACTGCGTCTGTCTGGAGCTAGAGAGACACAGCAGAGGGAGTGTTCTTGGAGAAGGGTTCTGCAGCAGCAGTTCCAACGGACTGGATTCAGGGGGCATTGCTGCCTATGCACTGGTAATGCTTTAGGGCTTTTGCATTCTATTTCACTTTATTTTTAATCCACCATTTCGAAGGATCTGCTTTATGTGGTCTCGGATTACCGTGTTTTAAATACGTTATTGAGCTTAAAATTCAAGCGCTGCATTTGCTGTACTACAGACTGCAAGTGGTAAATTTATTATCTGGATGTAAGGGATAAATGGACTTATTGGTGAGTTACGATTTTTGATATTTAGTTGACAAACCTATATGTATGTATGCGTTTTCTTTTGTTGTTTCTCTAGATTCTTCAACTTGACTCTGGCAGAGGACGCACTGATTAGGAGCCACTCAATCAGAAAATTAAAAGGTACTGCATGTTTTACTTGGATGTTTAAATGAGGGGATATTTAGAAAGAACTGGAATGTTTTTATTTAGGTTTGTCTCCTTGTAGTTGGTCTTTATCCCGGAGACCATGCTGATCATTGTCTATAAGATGTAGGGTTTCTTATGCAGATTGTACCACCAACCGAGGCTATTTTAAATAGAAAGTATCTAAAAAAAAAAAAAAAAGTCTTTTGTCTATGTTGCAAATTAGTAAGAAATATCAGCATGCCCTAGCTGGTTTGTATTGTTTGAATTTTGTCATTGTGACAGTTAACAAAATGTCTGAAATTCTGTATCACAAAGAAAATATATTCTTTTGAATTTAAAAGAAATATGTTAAAAATGATTTTAACTGAAGGTTTCCTATGGATCCAAGGATTTTTTTAAAAAAACATATTAAATAAAATGGTTCACTCTTTGTAGATGGGACCAGCACTGGAGATCGAAACCCAGGGATGACTCAGTGTTGTTAGGTTTTGTGAATAAAATATTATAATTTCTTTACTAATGTTTTAGTTTACAACAGGGGATATTTTTAAAGTAAAAAATGGTTAATCCTCAAAAGAATTTAGTATCATATGCTTTATTCAGAATTAATAGCATAAAAAGGAATTCCTCTCTCTTGCTAGGAAAGCAGCTGAGCCCATTGATCTAGGCCTTATGCCTTACATGAAAAATATCAGTTTTTAAATTTAGCATCAGGGATGTATATTGATTTGAAAGGGCAATTATGTATACTGTCTACCCTTTAATTTTTTTAATATTGTCTTTGACTTTAACATACGTTCTTGCCCATAAATCCTATATAGTAGTCACTTGCCTTTTAAAAAAATGGAAGACATTTTCTGCCTTCCTGAGAAGAGACCAATACCACCCCCCTAAACCTTCTCTTGGCATCTTTATAGCATTTCCCTTCAAGACTGCCAGTTTAAAATACTTCATACAGAAGGTTTAGCATTTTAAAAACGATAACTTAAAAATGGTTGAGATAGCCAGCCTAGGAGTGAAATATCGTAAGTGTACACCATGAATGTGAGTATTTGCAGCAGCTGAGGGAGAGTAGTGCATTGTCCTCGGTTAATTTTCTCTGCAATGTGTAATCACGAATGACTTAATTTATTCACTCCCCAAGCATTGCTGAAGAGCCTGGCTTCTGTGGGTAGTCCCAGGGCAAGAGAGGGGAGAAACAGATGACAGGGTCCACAGGCTCCCAGAGCGTAGGCTGAACCACACAGGATTTTTGAACAGGAGAATTTTTTTTTTTTTAATAAATTAATGTGCTCTCCAAAACGATGCTATGTTATTTCAGGTATTGCATACATTCCAGTGGACTGGTCTTAAAAACAGATGAAATGATTATGCATTTTTTTGTCTCAGAAATTATTCATACAGGATTGTGTATGTAAGCCTGAAACAAAACTCATCATTCCCCTTGGATGTTGTAAAACTCTTAAGATCATTGTTTTTTTGATGTTTTACTTAGAGTAAATGAAAATATTTCATGTTTGGTGAAAATTATCTGTTATTTTCTTACCTAACCAATCTATGTAGAATACACACACACACACACACACACACACACACACACACACACACACACACACCCCTCCCATGTGGTCTGATTCTTAGGTTTCAGATGTATCAGAAACTTGTTGTATTTATTTTAAGCTTTGGGGTATCTGTGCTAATTGGAAAAGATGGAATTATCATTGTCTGCAATACATTACAGTCAATACGAACTGCTCCACTCCACTCCAATTTGCCTAGGCTTTGGAAAGGCGGCACATGACCACCAAGAGCCTCCTATTGCCTCCCTTTCCAGGGCCATTTTGAAATCATCTAGTGGGAATGATGATGGACTCAGTAATAAGAACAAGCTTGTTAAAATAGCTGTTAGTGAGTCAAATCCAAACAGACCCAACTCTGGTGTTCTAAGGCAGATCTCAGTGCCATGGTGACTAATCAATATTGTCTGCGCAGTTGTTAACTTCTTTACTGAATTTTCTCTCCATAATATTACTTTTTAATACACAAAATAGTGGCCAGACCACAGCAGTTCAGTTAATATTTATTTATTTAATTACTTAATTTGCAAATGAATTTGTTATTTCTCATTTTTTTAATTTTGCTTTTCATATGATGATGCATGAAGAATAGAAATTTGATATTTTCGGTGTTTAGTTACCTAAAATTTGTGTGTGTGTGTCCTGTTATTAATTATTAATGTTTTGTGATGCTGGGGTTTGAACCCAAAACCCCATAAATTCCAGGCATTGGCTCTACCACTGAGTTACAACCCCAGTTCCTAGCTACTAATTACTTGATGAGTTGTTTTGGTAGAAAAGGAAAGCTATGTGTCAAAATTTCTTCAGGTTATGTGGGAAATGATTTTTCTGGATTTTGGTTAAAGTGGAAAAAAATTTCAATTTCATTAGAAGTAGAGAAAAAAAAAAGGCGAACTGCAGCCTGGGCTTTGCTATTGGCACCTCCTACACAGTCCTCCCAGGCTCCACTCCAGGTCTCCTGCCAAGCTTCTGCAGTAGCAGAGGAGCAGAGGACCTCATCGCTTGATTTCCCTACACATACCATGCTAGAAATGATAAGATGATCAAGAGAACATTGGAGAGTAGATGATGTAAGCAGGAATGGAGGCACCCCTGAAATCTCAGCATTCAGGAGACTGAGGCAGGAAGATCACCAGTTCTAGGTTACAGTGAGTCTGAGCTGCATCGTTAGAGGCTGTCTCTAAAAGAAAAAAAAAAACAAAAAACAAAAAAGTGCATAGATTTTCATTTTATATACATAAAGACTCCGTAAGGAAACTTCTAGAATCATAATGATTTCGGAGAATGCCATTTGTTCCTGTCATGTGCTTTTGTTAATTAGAACTATAATTTGTTATTGTTAACTATCTGCCTGACATTATCCTAAGCTCATAGCATGTGATACCCCATTTAACTCTCTCTGTAATCCTCAGAATTAGGTTCAGTCTCCATTTTCTAGATGCGTGAACTGAGGCTCCAACTGCACAATTTCCATGTCTGGTCCAAAGCCCTCATAGAGATTCATAAATATTAAAATTTTCTAGCAGACTTTTTATACATAGTTATTTTCTTAATACTATGTTTATGCGGGTAATACAAAGCTGCGGTGTGATCAAAACAGTATATGTTGCAGATTCTCACATGTAATAAAAGTATGTCTTCAAATAGTTACACCATTCAAGTTCTTATATGTTAAACATATATGTAATACTCATATTTTCATACATCTTATATAATATATTTAATTACAAGCACTTTCTTCAAATAAGGCTGTCAGATAAACTTATGTTTTTAAATAAATTAATTATAAAACTCCATGAAAATGACAAGAAAATGTGTTATTAATTGTATAATCTGTATGTGAACATTAGTTGGAGAATTCAAGAGCAAAATACCACAGCTCATATTATAGTTTGTAAGGTATTTTACAATTGAAATAGTCACAAGAGCTTTGAATGTCTGAAATAAATAAAGTGGAAAGTTGTGCCATGAAAAATATTCAAACTCAAGGACAAGCTACACCAGGGAAATAAGAGACACAGAGTATTATTAAGACCCTCTTCTTGGGAAAGAGTGACTTCAACAGAATAGTTCCTGAGGTTAGGTGGTGCAGTAGGAGCAGGGCAGGGAAGCATAAAGCATCCTTTTAGATGCTCTCATAGAGAAAAAAAGGTCCAAAGAGCATTGATTGTACCATACCAGCCATATAATTTCCTCAGGGACTTCATTGTATGGAGTTTATGCATGAGGCATTTGTGGTGAAATTCAGGGATGACCAGAAGTGGTCAAGAGGTATACTGCATTGGAGGAGCTTCAAGAAAAGCAAAGATTAACATAAGCAGTGAAGGAACTGGCCAAGCCTGGGAGGCACAGATGGATCTCAGATGTCCTAGAACATAGATCAGACCAAGGGGATTCTTGGAAACAAGGAGTGGATGAGTGCATGAATACTACAAGGCTATACCATATGAAATGACTGTTCCCCTCTTTGAATAGCAAAATAAAAATGTCATTCAGATGAAGAAGTTTTTAAAAAATATATTGTTTTGTTTTTGTTTTTTTTTTGCTTTGTAATTGTGTGTTTTTTTTTCCTATTCAATAGGAAGATATTTTTAAGTAGAAGATAACTATGCCCAAAGCCATTTTCAGATTATTTATCTTACAGCTCTGTGTAAGACTGTTAAAGTAAGCATGTTGCACTAAGCATCATTTTAGATGCTGTCATAGAGGAATGAAAGGACCAATGAGCATTGCTTGTTAATATGAAAAAAAAAAAAGGTCATGAAAGTGAAAGATGCTTCTGAGCCCAAAATTACACTCCGATACAGCAGCTGATTGACTGATGGGAGAAATAAAAGGCAGAAGAATAATTCACAGGGGACTTCAAAGTTTGAAACTGATAGAAAAGTGACTTAGAGAAAGGTGTCTAAGAGCTACCTGAAGGAAGAAGTCCTCTTTTTTATTGATCCTTGAATGTCTAGAAGACACATAGCCAATTATTGCTAAGTGAGTGGCAGAGGGTGTATTAAAAGATGATGATATGTGTGTAGAGCATGAAGGGTAGACTGTGGGTGATACGGACATGGGAAGAGATTGGGGTGAGAAGTTACAGAGCACGTAGACACAAGGTAGAGGAAGGTCTGAAGGATGTGGGTGATGCTGCCACGCAAAAGGGTGAGAGGAGAACCTAAAGGAAGATGTGTTACAGCATCCTCATTATAGACACGGGATGAGACAGAAATCAGCAACGTCGAAGGAAGGATTAGAAGACAAACAAAAGAAGTGTGTAGTGAATGCGTTAGAAAACAAAACTAATATTTGGACCCTTCAGAAAATTAAAGACTAAAAAATAATTCAATCAATCTACATTTTATAAAACTTTATAAGTCTACATTTTATATAAGAAAAGAAGTGATGCTCACCCAGAATTTTGTAGTG